AAGCTGACTGAGGAGGCTTCGGGGCTGGTGATTCCTGGGTTGAAGGCAGATCCGGAGACGAGCCCCAGGTGGATGGCGGAGCAGCAAGTTAATGCGGCTGCGCTGGAGGCTGGAGCGATGCTTGACCAAGGCTTGGGGTAGTGACTTAGCTGCACTGTAACCTGTAATCCATGTCTTGTAACTTAGCTAGTACTCCCCCATCCTGAATTACTTGTCTTGGATTTGTCTATATACGGATGCGTCTAAACATCCGTATCTAGACACATTTTAGTGTTAGATACATCTGTATCTAGAAAAATGCAAGGCAAGTACTCCCTCTGTAAACTAGGAAGGTGTGAAAAAGCCCAGGCGTCAGGAGGCGGGACAGGGAGTACCTGTAAAAGAAAAGCGGACTCCTACCTCCAGGAAAAGTAGTGCGAGGAAGGTGTGGGTGCCGGTCCAATAAGGTCCTGTTGTGGGCGTGGTGGAAAGGACGGACATTTTTGGAGGAGTGAAGGGACAACGAACTGTTGAAGGTAGTGACTCTGCGGACCTAACTGAGAAAACAACGGAGCCTGCAAAGGAGGAGCAGGCCCAGCGGGCTCAATGAGGATCTTACCTTGGAACTGTCAGCGTTTGGGGGTTGACCCCAACTGTGGGAGAATTAAGGGGCATAGTTCAATCCTTCGACCACGGGCTGGTGTTTCTATGCGAAACCAAAAAAGAGAACCGACGATGGAGAGAGTAAGGTTGAGTTTGGGTTTTCAGAATGGTTATGCGGTGAATTCTAATGGAAAAGGACGAGGTTTGGCTCTGTGGTGGCGGGACAAAGTCTCTGTGGAATTCAAGCCGTACTCGCAGCACACATGGACATATATATTCAGGAGCAGGGAATAAAGTGCGGTTCTCAGGGATTTATGGAGAACCTAAAGCATAACTCCCTGACAAAACATGGAGTATCATTCGCTACCTCTGTGCACAGTCCGACTTACCTTGGCTGTGTGCAGGAGATTTTAATGCGGTTCGAAAGGCTTCAGAGCAGCGAGGTCAAAACGATAGAAATCCCACTCAAATAGGAAGATTTAGAAAATGTGCGGACGTATGTGGGCGTCAAAACCTTGGTTGTTCAGGGTATCATTTCACTTGGAATAACAAGCATGATAACGAGGAGAATGTCCAAGTGAGATTGGATAGACTTTGGGAACGCTGCTCTCTTTGATTGCTTCCGTGAGATTTCAGTGAAGCATATAGCTACTGAAGAATCATATCACATGGCTTTACTAATTGAGTTGGAAGCAGAAACTAGGGAGAGGAAAGAAGTAACATACAACCCTTTCAATAGGGAGAGATGTGGGGGCGCCATGAATCTTATATGGAGATGTTCTCTGAAGTGTGGACTAACAGTGACAAAGGAGAGCATGGAGTCTGAGGACTGTGGAAACGGCTTCAAAGAGTTTCCAACCATATGCAAGAGTGGAGCAGGGAGTTTTTTGGTTCAGTAGGGGGTGAGCTAAAGGTATCGAGCCAGCAACTGGTGGAGACAAGGCAGGAGACTCTACTGATTGAGAATGCAGATCTTATAAAAGTTCTAGAGGCTCGCATGCACGAATTGCTGGTGAGAAAAGAGGTGATGTATGGGCAGACATCAAGACTAGTGGCTCAATGCGGGTGATGGCAACACGAAATACTTTCAAGCTAGAGCCTCCCATCGGAAGAGGGAGAATACAATAAAATCTCTGGTGAGTGGTGACTGCAGATGGAAGGAGATTTAGTATGGATGAAGACATAAGAAGAATAGCTAGGGAGTTCTACACGGATCTGTACACCTCCGAAGGGGCAGGTACGAACCAGTTTTAAGTTCAATTCATGCTTTATCTCTAACGAAATGGGGACTGTATTAGATGCAGAGATCATTGACAAAGAAATCAGTACAGCGCTATTCCAGATGCAGAGATCATCTTCTCAGAAGCATTGTGGGGAGTTAGGGAAGGAGGTATGTGGTGCAGTAGGGGACTTTTTCGAAGGAGGAGCTTACCCAACAGAGCTAAACGACACAATCCTAGTTTTGGTTTCGAAAGTCTCAGGGGCGGAACAATTATTTCAGTTTCAACCATCAGCCTTTGAAATGTCCTCTACAAAATAATCATTGAAATTGCTGGCAAACAGGCTGAAGAAGGTTCTGCCCATTCTTATCTCAGAAGAGCAGAGTGCCTTCATTCTAGGTCGCTAATTACTAACAATGTCTTTATCGCCTACATGTGTTTATACTATCCTGTGCCAGAACTGAAAGAAAAAGCTTTGTGCTCTTAAAGTAGATTGATAAAGGCGTAGGCTATCTGCAAAGTATACTCAGCCATATAGGATTTTCGGAAAGGTGGATTGAGATGGTTATGCAATCCGTCACTTCAGTAAGGTATGAGGTCTAACAAAACATGAAGAAGGGAAAATCGTTGCAGATGACAGTCTAGTGTTCCTGGAAGCAACAGAAGAAAGCCTGCTGACGTTGCGTCCGGAGGGCAGATTTCTCAGAAGTGCGAACTGAGCTCTGGTCAAAAGGTGAACCTTCGGAAATGCTCCACTATCTTTCGACCAAGAGTTCAGGAATCAAGTGGGAATAAAAGCCACGCTGCAGGATATTAGCGCTGTTGGAAATGAATCATCAATGTAAGGTATTTGGGATTGCCAACAATGGTGGGTAGATCCAAAAATGATGCATTACAACATATTCTAAAAGAGAAAAGAGCTTGGGGAAAGGTGCTGGGCTGTGAGGGCCAAGGACTGTGAAAAGCAGGGAGAGAATTCTTGTGAAGCAAGTATTGCAGCCTGTTCCAGCATATACTATGAGCTGTTTTACATTCACAAAATCTCTGTGCAAGCATCTCTTCTGTTATATCAAGATTTTGGTGGGGCTCAAGCAAGGCACAACATCTATCAAGAATCCTCTTCCAACAAGATAGGGCTGGAGAATTCTGACCTGTCCGTATACTCTATGTGCTAGAGCCCTAAAAGCTAGATACTTCAAGCATACGAGTTCCCTCTGAGGCAGGAAAAAACCCAAGAAATGTCTCTGACATGGAGGAGCATTTTGCATGGGCATTGTCTGCTGCAAAAAGGTTTAATCTGGCGCATAGTAAATGGGGAGAATCTGAAGGTGTGGCAGGATAACTGATACCAAGGAGTGGCAGCAGAAGGCCCCTTGTTTGTAAATGTGATACAAGTGTGACAAGGGTTTCTGAGTTACTGTTGCCAGATTCAAAGGAACTGAATGCTACTTGGTTAGGGATATCTTTTACGAACCTGGCAAATAATATTTTGCCGACTAATGTGGGCAAATGGGAGGGTCGGGATTTCTAGGCGTGGAACTGGAACGCAAATGGGAGGGTATGAATATTTCATAATCAGTACGGACAACGAGGGTGGATATTCATCTAACCTTAAAAACCATAAAGGCTGGCTGAAACTGTGGAGTGTGAATGCTCCTAAAAAAATGAAGATCCATGCTTGGCTTGTCACCCTTTGAAGTGTGGCTGTGGGCGCAGAACTGGCCAGGAGGAAAATAAATTTAATGTGAGGTGCCCTTAGAAATGAATCGTTTGCTCATTGTTTTTGGGCTGTGGCCTGTGGGTATGTGAAAGAAGTTTGGAAGGAACTGGAGGTCTGGAGCAACTGTACCATAAGAAATGGGCAGGGTTAAGCACTTGATGCATGGAAGTAGAAAATTAAATGCACTGGATGCTAACCAACTTTCCTATGCTGTCGGAGGATGACTTAAGCCTATTTATCAGAACACTCTATGAGCTGTGGCAAGCTAGGGACGCTGCATGCAGAGGTGAGCCCAGAATAAACCCCAAAGATGTGGCCATGAGAGTCCATTATATTGAGATGGAATGGAAGCAGCTGAATCCTCCAGCCCCTACCTCACACTCATGTGATAAAGAAAAGAATTGGGGTCTGCCTCCACAAGGGTGGATGAAAATTTAATGTGGATGGGGATCTAGACAACAAGGGAGAAGTGGAAAGAGCAGGGGTAGTAATCAGGCAAGATAATGGTGCGTTCGCTGCAGGTAAATGATGGATTGCTACGCGGTGAAGAAACCGAAGAACGCTGGACTGGACCAATCAGTATATGGATCGCTGGTCCAAGAACTAAAGGCTCGGTGCTCTTTGTTTTCTGAATTCTGTGTGGAGTGGTGTATTAGAGAAGCTAATGTTTGTAATTCATGCTTTAGCAAAGGCAGGTTGTAATGTACTAGTTGGGTCACGTGTGTGGATTGGGTTCCACCATTGATCTTAGAGCTGTTGTTATGTAAATACTTGGTGAATGGTTAACAAATGATAAAGCAGCTGTTCTAAAAAAAGAAGATTGCATAAATAAAAAGCACAACTAAGGAAAGGAAGCCTGCACAAAAAAATCTAATTGTTTATCACCAACTACACCATTCAGCTCCTATTTGATATGAGGGTTTGTCTGCACAAATTAACAGGTAAGCATATTTAACTAATAACTGGAATACATATGCTCCAGACTTTATAATTTGCATGTCAATGCAAACACCTTAGATATTCTGTACAAAATGAAACAACCCATGGCTTGACAGACTTAGGGTCTGACAAAACTTATCAAGATTAACAATTATATTCTTGCTGAATCAAGAAGAGCATGCTATTCATGAATGCCGAACATACTCACCGGAGTTAAGATAGACATAGAACTCCACAGATGAATTAGCCCCGGGGATCTCAAATAGTTTATTGCTTCTATAGTAACTATTTGAGGCCGTATATGATAGCTTCACAATCATTCTTTTAAGCATTGGCGCACATCTGAATATCAGTTTCAAGACATCGAGCTCATGACAGTCTCCTTGGAAGCCGTTGATCTCCACTTCTTCGAGAGCAGTCAAGGAGATAGTTTGGGATCTCCAGCCCATGGGCTGGTGACATCTACAATCTAGTGAGCATCTTCTCACCTAAAACCAGACATTATAAGTGAATTACTGCACAGGTATCATTGGGATATGTCATTCAGAGCAGAATATTATCGCTGGTCCCGGTAGAGTGATCTTAAGCTTCTGCATAGCACTACGAATTTGGTTCATCCCTAGGAGATGAAACACGGGTGCTCCATAAACATGCTCCTCCCTTGTGATATATAGCTCCAAAACAGAGAAGTTGGCAATCATATGCTTCTCGATCTCATGCGTAAAGTTGCCCTCTTCGCCGTTAGGAAAAGACCAACCCTGAAAAAGCAATTTGGCAGGATATATATCATTCACAAATTTAGTTTGAGCTTCCAGTAAACTGAGCAGGAGAAAGTACGAACTGCTGCAAGATGAATGCGCAGCGAGAGGAGTTGTCCTTGTGTGTCTGCCGTCCGTAGCAACACCTCTTTTAGTCGCCAAATACCAAACCAAACAGAGTGTCTGGTATAGCAGCAGCGCCATGAGACCTTGTCGAGCATTGGTGCCAAGACGGAGATGCTGAGCCCCGAGGAGAGGAAGGACATGGTCAATCGCTTGAGCATGGGGGCAACAATGTTGATATGCTCTGCCAATCCCTTCTCGCTGTCCACGACAAGCTCCTGCAGCGACGCAGAGTCGATGCTGAGGACGCCCTCTTGGAAGAAGAAGCCGTCAAGCCAGAGCGTGCGCAGGCGGGGGCAGCAGGGGATGAAGGAGCCGAGGTCGAGGTCCGGGTGGCAGCACAGCAGGGACAGCTTCTGGAGCGCGGGGAACTCGACGCCGGCGGGCACGACGAGGAGGACGGAAAAGATGTCCAGCACGATGGAGGTGGTGCGCTGGAAGCAGGAGAGGTCGAGGGCGAGGGTGCCGTCTATCAAGCCCGAGGGGAGGGCCACGGCGAGCTCCTCCGGCTGGAGCCGCGCGGCGGCGAGCAGCAGCGAGTTGACGCGGGCGGAGTCGGGCCGGCTGTGCTCGGGGAGGCGCTTGTCGGTGATGCGGATTTGCAGGAGGGAAACCGCGGGCGGGGGCGCGGAGACGCCGCCGAGCGCCGCTTCGAGCGAGGGAAAGGGCACGTCGCGGAGGACGATCCGGCGGAGGCGGGGCCAGAGGCCGGCCCCGCGCCACCGGCGGGAGAGGGCGGCGGTGCGCGCGGCGGCGGCGGCGCATCCGAGGCGGGGGAGGATGAGGAGGAGGAGGTCGTCGGGGAGGGCGCTGATGCGGTCGGGCAGCGGGCGGCGCGCAGATCTCGACTCCATCTCCATCTGGACTCCTAACACTCGAAGGCGTTGTTTGTATAGAAGATATACTAATATAGAATCCGTACTCTATAAACCAGGAAAACGGTTCAACCGAACAAAACCTCGCTTGGCTACTATAAGGGCATCTCCAGCCATTCGGCCCCCCAGGGCGCCTAAATAGAGCGGCCTGGGGGCGTGCCGGCGCTAATTCGGCCCCTGGGGGCGACCTAACTCCCAGTCACGCCCCCACGCGCCGGTCCCAGGATGCGGGAAATTCAAACTTGGTCGTTCCCGCTCTCAAAAGACGCCGCAAATCCGGCGATCGGACGTAGTCTGACGTTACAAAAAACAGAGCGCCGCCGTGCGCAACGATTCACTCGGCTTGGTCGGCTCCAGGCGTTGGCGGAGTCGGCGTGCGCGGGCTCGTCGGTGTCGGACCTGCTTCGGCGCAGGGCTGCGTCGGCGCGGCTTCGGCACTGCTGGGCGGCGATGTAGAGGCGCCGTTCGGGCTTGGCATCCTTGTGGTCGTGGGCGTCGTCGGCGTCGTCGGCGTTGCCGTCGGCAGCTCGTTCAGGATGAGGCCGCGCTGCACCAGGTACCACGCCTTGAGCTTCTCGTCGTTGCTCTGGAGCATGTCCTCCCCGCTCATCAAAAAAGCCATGTCGGTGTTCCTCTTCTTCGCGGCGACGTTCGTCCGGAGCAGGTCGAGCTTGATGGCGTTGTTCTTCATTAGCGACGACCACCGCGCCTCGGTCTTCTCTTCGCGTAGGACGGCCCGGGCCTGGGCGTCGGCGAGGCAATGCTCGATGGACTCCTACACTCGCGTGGTTGCCGCGTCGGCGCTTTTCCCCTTCTTTGCCAACTTGTGGCCGTCCGACCGTCCCTCTGACGCGTCCGGAGTCGTCGCGTCTGGCTTGTATGTTTCCTTGGCCTTGTCGAGGGCACGCCGGACTTCCGCCCACTTCTCGCACTTGTCAATGCGCTTGTAGACGTGGAGGTGCTTGAAGTTGGCGTCTTGGTTGTCGCCCCGATACATGGCGAACATAAGCAGCAGCTGCGCGGAGGGACAAACAGTTGGCGGGCGGCGGGCGTAGGGGACGAAGATATGCGGGCGAACGGCGTGCTTACCTAATCCTCAATGGCGCTGCTCTCCGGGCGAGCTGCGACCTCCTCGACGATTCCATGCCATTTGTTGCACGCCAACTGGATATGGCCCCAATGGTTCGCCATAGCCTTGGAGCCGAGCTGCATGTAGACGCCTTTGAAGTAGGGGTCGACGAGCTTCCGCTCGTCGAACTCGGCCTTGATGCGGTCCCAGTACGTGTCCAAGCTCTGGTTCGCGCCGGTGGTCGGGTCAAGGCAGACGACTTTCCATGCTTCGGCGAGGCATTCCTCCTCCTTGGACGTCCACTTGATGCGCGGTTCACCTGACCTAGCCACCCGCTTCTTCTTCTTCTGGCGCCCCTTCGTCGGAACAGGAGCCGGTTCCTCCTCCTCCTCCTCCTCGTCGTCCTCCTCCTCCTCGGGTTCCTGCGCGTCGTCGCCGTAGACGTAGCCGAGCTCGGCCTCCATGTCGCCGCTGAGGTCCACTACCTCGTCCTGGGTGGCGAACCCGGGAGACTCGGCGGCCGCGGTTGATCCTGTCGCGATGATGTCGTCGGTGTTGCCGAGGTGCGAGAAGGGTAGCGGTCCGCGGTAGAGATGGGGCGTCGGTGTGGACGCGCAGGCGGCAGGCGGCGAGTAGTTGTATGGAGGGTACTGCACGCCGACGAAGGCGGGCAAGGGCGTGCGCGTAGCGGGGTGACCATGAGGGAAGGTCACGTTTGGCTTGAACCCACCGTGCGCGTCGCCGTCGGCGTAGCCGGGCGACGATGAACCCCATGGAGATCCGGCGCCTTGCTGTCCCCAGGGCGCGTACTGGGTGTGGCTGACGACGGGTGGATTCATGCCCGCCTGGCCGACCGATGAGGAAGACGCCACCGCGCGCGCCGCGTTGTCGCGGGCCTTCTTGGCTATGGCCCTGTTCCGCCTGTCGGTGGTGACTGCTTCGCGCCGCTGAACTTCCACCCTCCACTCGGTGTTCGACAGGCCCGGTGGCTTCGATGGCGGCGCCCTCAGCTTCCTCTGCTTCGGCTGGGCCACTGCGCCAGTCGCGGTTGCCGCCGCGCGCGGCATGGCGTACTTCTTCGGCGGCATGGCGTGCTTCTTCGCGGCGAGCGGGAGGGGGTTTGGCGGGAGAAAGGGATAGAATGGCGGGAGGAAGGCGAGCGAGCGGGAGAGATGCGAGGGAAAAGCGTCAAGAAACGGCGGAAAAAGGCCCTCGGGTCGCTTCCAGGGTGGGCCCACGCGCCTTTTTCGCTTGTGCCGGCTCCCCAAGCGCCCCCCAGGGTGCCAGATTTGGCCTGGGTCCGCCGGCACCAGTTTTGGCCCGAGCCGGCGAAAACGGGCTTCTGGAGGCGCGACTGAGGCCTTTTTTTGGCGCCGACGCGACAAAATTGCCTGGGGAGGGCCTGTTGGGGGCGCGGCTGGAGATGCCCTAACAAATCCACATTTATAGGAAACCTGGAACTGTACAACCCAAGATTTCGGGCTTATAGAAGCCAAACGAGGATAGTAGCCAAACGTGGATTTGTACAGTTCCAGGTTTCCACAAACGCGATTGCTATATCGCGTGATCGCAACAACTTTTTCGCGCCCGCTCGCTTCTCAACAACTTTTCTAACGCCAGTTCTGCGTTTTGCTGCTCGCCCTCGCGCCTTTTTCATTGCTTATTATATACAGGCCCCATCGCCATCGCTAATTAAGGCCCTGTTCGGGACGTGGGTTCACAAAACAGAGGAAAAGAAAAATGCATAGGTATGGGATGGAGTGCAAAGTGAAACCTGCAAGCTTACAGAAAGAGGAATGTGAATCTATGGGGTGTTCTGAACAAAGGAAAAAAGTTTTGGAATCTGCACACTTCTCTAGGAAATAGAACTAGCCGTTATGTGCCTGGGCATTGTATTCTTGCCGTTGATTTCTCTAGCCGTTGCTTCTTCTTTCTCTTGCTATATAAGCACATACAATGCACTGCCAACAACTTGCTTGCCATTTCTTCTCCTCTCCTGTAAGAACTTCTCTAGGAACTCATAGTCCAGTCTTGTAGCGGCAATCCATTCGTTCCTCTAATGTAACGCCCCGAGCCCGGTGCTTCAGATGCCTTCCTTGTTTTCCGAGTTTCGTCGTGTGATTTGTTTTATTTGTTGCATTCATCCTTGCATCATGTGCATTGCATCATGTCATCATGCCATCATATCATTAATTTTTAAAACCTCAACTAAATAAATTGTATGGATTTTTCGATCCATTTAAATCGAGGGAACTCACATGGTGACTCTCTTTATAACATATCCTCCAATATTAGGGAGCTATATTAAATATTTCATTGTTTTGGAATCACCAAAACACACTTACAAAATAATTTCGTTCCTTTTCTGCTTCAAGTTTGGTCTCCAACCTTGCCAATATTTATTTCATCATTTTCCGGAGCTCCACCAAAAATCCGAACATTTTTGGACCTTCCTTTCATCAAGTCCTAGTTCAAACCCATTTGAATTTCAAATGAGTTTGAATTTAATCTTTCAATCTTGGCCTTTCTATTTTTCTCGGAACAAACTCATTTTTGCGAGTCCGGAAAATTATCCCCATGTCCTACTTCTTCCCCTAACCCCTCTTTCTTTTCTTTCCTATCTCTGTTTTGTTTTTTTTATTTTCTTTAGAGAGAGAGAGAGAAGAGGGCCGCTTCCCCGCAGCCCATTTGACCCAAGGCTAAGCCGGCCCAAGGCCCAGCCGCCCCCCACTGTAACCCTAGCCCCGAGTCCCCCGATCCAATCTCCCCCCCTCGTTTCCCCTCAGCGCCGTCACCTCCCTC